AAAGAAGTCAAGTGAGTAGAACACTACAAAGATTTAAGAACAAGCGTAAGTGGTACAAAGAAGTCAAGTGAGTAGAAAACACTACCAATATTTTAAGAACAAGCGTAAGTTTAAAATATTGGTAGTGTTCTACTCACTTGACTTCTTTGTACCAGAACAAGCGTAAGTGGTACAAAGAAGTAAAGTGAATAGAACACTACAAAGATTTTATGAACAAGCGTAAGTGGTACAAAGAAGTCAAGTGAATAGAACACTACCAAGATTTTAAGAAGAAAGTGTAAGTGGTACATTCCTTATAAAAGAAAGAAACGTCATAAACAGTAAAATTTTAAACAATTTCAAATGAAAAAAATAAATCAGTTATATGTAAAGACAACATTTATAATAGTCTGTAATAAATAAAAACCTACTAAAAGGCACTAACGACACACCTACTTCAAGTCTTACTGTCATAAATTAGTTCGTTTCTTTAGCAGTTTATTTGTTAAATTTCGCGTTAGAAGGCTGTCTGCTGTAGCCACTCGTACTTTTCACGTGATAGACTAGAGTAAAGACAACTATTCAACACCACCCACCGCCAACTCTTGGGCTACTCTTTAACCAACGGAAAGTGGGATTGACCGCACATTGTAACGCCCCCATGGCTCAAAAGTTGAGCGTGTTCGATGACGGAATTCGTACCCGCGGGCCATCGATCGCCGATCGATGGCCCTAACCACCGAGCTGTGCCAAGTCGTGACATTCGGAATCCGTGAAGGGTGACATCATACTGGAACAAGATCTCCGGGTTAAATGTTATCAAACAATGTAAAGCGTTATTGCAGTAACGAACAAATATGATTTAAGTCTTGAAATGGTTAGTAAACATATCACACGCAGTCCATTGTTCTAAACAGTTTCCTACATAACTAATACACACCTCAACTCTTTTCATGGCGCTCGTAATCTCGATCAAGCATCTGCTACATCCGTTTACATAGAAATATTTAGAACATCTTGTCATACAAAGTAATTACTTGTCACATACTAAGTAACGTAGTACAACGTGGCTCGCGACTGGCTTCCAAATGAAGTCAAGCTTGGCTTATTCTGTCAGTCTTAACCATAGTGCTGTCACTTGTATTTGGTGTCTTTGTCAAGAAATTATAACTCAGTGTAATTTCTCAAACGTGTTATTGATTTCAGAGAATATTGGACGTTTGATTGAGAGGGTGCCATATTATACTACAACTGATGTAGTCAAAACTGAGATAAATATATAAACATATAGACATTAAGAAAACAATATATTTGGAATGCTCGTTTTTTATTTTTTGTGATACACCGCTTACAAAAAAAATGAGAATTAAAAAATCACTATAATTAATTACAATGAAAAAGTAAGAGCTAATCGGAGAAAAAATAAAGTCTCTCCCCATAAAAAATAGAAAACCTTACTGATGCACTCTTATTAGATTTTCTTTTCTTTCTGTGACGTGCAGATAGGTATAGTATATTATTTAACTTCTTTCTGTGACGTGCAGATAGGTATAGTATATTATTTAACTTCTTTCTGTGACGTGCAGATAGGTATAGTATATTATTTAACTTTTTCTGTGACGTGCTGATAGATATAGTATATTATTTAACCATCCAATTTTGAACATAATACCATCAGTATTCAACCAACCAACAATTTTCCTTCTTTCCTGGTCCGGCATGGTCGCGGGTCCGATTCCCCGTTCCACCAAAATGCTCGCCCTTTCAGCCGTGGGGGTATTATATAGTGACGGTTATTCCAACTATTTGTTGGTAAAAAAGTAGCCCAAGAGTTAGCGGTTGGAGGCAATGATCAGCTGCCTTCGTCTAGTCACTGCTAAATCAGGGACGGACTAGAGCAGATAATCCTCGTGTAGCTTTACGTGAAGTTCAAACCAATCCTTCTTTCTAAAGAAGTTCCGTATTATACTGAAGTACTGAAGAAAACTAAGCACTTTTAGTTGTCGTATGGATAATTGTAATGGAAATGTACTGTCAGTAGAATACACGTCGACGGTGTTACAAAACACATAAAAGGAATTAATAGCTGTATTCTTAAATGTACTATTCTCAAGGGACCACCTATATATTGCTAAACACTGGAAATTTTTGTGAGTTCGCGCTGACTGGAGCACCTATATCTACCGTATATATATATATACATATGCTCAGCTTTGTTGTACACATAAACTATAATTTTCTACTGTGGGTGTATTATAAGAGTGACTGTCAAGTCCTTAGCGAGGAGGATGCCACTGGCTGGTTGCCTCTTTCTGATAATAGTACAAAATTCGGAAGAATTTTCCCAACTAGGTATATCATGACATTCATAATAACATCATAATATTAATGTCAATGAAACACGATTGTCAGAAGAGAATAGCGATGTCAAGTTTTTGGACATCATTCTTCAACTTTCTAACCACGTAACATTTTTTCCCAGAAAATTATGCTTTAAGAAACATTTTTCGTTCTTTTTCCTCTAAATAAGCATTTTTAAGAACCTTTATCGCTGCGAGTTTCTACTATAAAATGAAACGCAAAAACAAGACCACAAGCTTGTTTTTGCCATTTACAATAAACGTTGATATTATATCCTTCTACTCTCTGAAAATGTCGATTTATTATACACTTCAGATGCAGGCCCACTTAAACTTCAAATGTAGCCGATGGCTTGGCGAAAAGGTTCAGTAAATAAACATAGAGGGCGCTGTTATCATTTTCATTGAGAGTGTCACTTTACACTTTCGAAAGGGCATACTTTACTCGAAATGAAATAGCATATAACTTCCGTTGTCTTTTAAACTCAAAATAGCTGGTCTGGATTAAAAAAAAAGCAAACAATAATTATTGGACAACATAGTGTCTGTTTAAAGTATTTACGTTACTGCTATTTTTTGTTCAAGTACCTTCGACAACGACACTTATTGAAAGAGAAATTTCGATCAAAGTGTTGGCTTCTAAATTTCTTTTGTCACAAACTTTGTTGGAGTTTAATACTTTATTTCTCCGTTTTGTACCATTTTATTTGTTCTTGTATCTCTACTTTGTTCCTCGTGCACGTGTTCTCTGTCACTTTCTGTCCAGAATATTGGATTTCCAAAACACATTCCTTCAAAATATAGTGAAAAGAAAAATCAGGTAGTGTCTTTAAACGTTAACATCACGTTTCATGTATCTTCTCCTGTTTTAAGTATCTTAATTCCACATAGTTTTCTTATTAATTTACTTAATTGAGAAGGATGACTAAGATACATAATATACCACGATACAACATGAATAATGACAAAGAAGTAACCAAACACATGAAAGAAACAGTACAATTATGAATTAAATCGCTCTATTTTTATTTGTTTTTCAAATGAAACTTGGAATCTTACTGATTTTTAATAATTTGTTTTTGGTACTGATTCAATAGAATTACAACAGTGATATTTTAGTTTGCTTAGATACAGGAAGAGAGAAGAAACTTGTATTATCATTTGTTCAATTATCAAAATGCACGCTGAAAAATAACTGTGTAAAAATTATAACAAATATGATATTTTGACAAAAACTATATTCACGAAACGACTCGTTGTATCAGCTTTATCAAAGGATCAATCCAATACAACCTAAGCCTGGAAATAAGGAAACAAAATATTTACTCACAACGTTTCGCCCTATCACATTTATTAAATTATCATCCTAGTATTGCAAATGTGAATATTGTAGCGCGTAGAAAATATTGGATTGATAATTAAAATATGTTCCAGAATAGTCCACAATGTGCTATAACAACTACATGAAAATAGGAAAACAATATTTGTGTTGCAAGGATAATCGCTGCAGAAAAGTTTAGGCTCAAAGAGTTTAGGTAAGAAAGTCAGTTGTTTTTTTTTTCACCCCATCTAAGCCTTTATATTACCAAAATAACTATTGGACGATATTTATAGAAAGAAGGAAAAATACATGGTTTCTAAGCAACACATACTGTTAACCCTAATTATAACGATAGTCGGTTTCTAGAGGTGATACCACTCCTTTGTGTAATTCAAAGTGAAGACTATATTTCGCACTTTTAATCAAATCACTTCTGCACTCGAGTTTCCACTTTTAAACATATCGTCGTTAGGTCTATATGTAAAAAGAATGATCGGGAACTCGCTTAATTTAAGGTAGTAATATTTTTTTTATTGCAGAAACTGTAAACATTTCACAAGAATCTCTTGTCAAAATCATTAGCGAAAACTATAGGAACTAAAGTGTTGTGGATGATTGTGATCTTCGGAATACTCTTAAATATCTATATTTTAAATTATACGCCCCCTAGCGGCACAGCGGTATGTCTACTGACTTACAACGCTAGAAACCGTGTTTCGATACCCTTGATGAGCAGAGCACAGATAGTCCATTGTGTAGCTTTGTGCTTAATTACAAACAAACCAACAAATTTAAATAATAAGAAACTTCTAGAACGCCTCTACAAATGGTTAAATATTAAAAATGTGGCGATGTTAAAGTAATTCGAATATTTATTCAAGTTAAAAATTGGCACAGATTATATTTCAAAGATACGTATATTTAGACATGTTTTTAGAAGATTTATTTAGAAGAGTAATTAAGTATTGCCAAGTACTAGTAACTAAAATCTACAAGAGGATGAGCTTTGCGATATATTTGTCATCGGTAATCACAAAGCTGCACAACCGATTATCTGTGCTGTGACAACGCAGAGATCTAACCCAGAATTTTAGCGTTATGCTTCCTGAATTTTATCGCTGTGCCAACGGGGGCTGGAACAATATATATATATATATACACACACACACACACAAATACATATAAATATATATTTGTTTAAGTAAACTTATAAATTTCTAAAAAAAGTAGAAATAATTCATTTTTGTTTGCTTTTTTGTTTGTTTTCACAAATCTAATTAATCTACACTCAAAATTTATTATATGGACTACCAGCAGTAAGACCCCATCCTTCTCCCTCCCCCGTCGGTGCCTGGACGGTAAGGTTGGGGAATTGTAGCGATTAAATCAAAAGTAAGCTAACAAAGAGAACGATGAGATATAACTTATATTATCTTTGTTATTTGTCACTGTAAATATAAATATATATATAGAATAATTTCTTTTCAGAATACAGTAGACAAGCTGTTTCAAAAAGCTAACGTTTCACTGACAATTGGAACCTCTTCTTGGAAGGAACAATTTGTAGAAGCCATTACTGTCAGCGCAGGTAAGGATCATTTATTTACTAAGCTAATATGTGTTAGAGCTCTGGATTTCGGGAACTGGCGAACCGGGTTCGAATCTTTATACTTTAATGTAAAGGTACGTTATAAGAGTAACGTCCCTTAGTGTGGACGATAGGTACTTGAGTACTGCTGACTATCTGCTTTTCCTTCTGGCCAGTAGTTCAAAATTAGGGTCGGCGACAGATAACCTAAGTACCTAATACAAATATTCAGAAATATAGTTTGTTTGTTTGTAGTTAAGCACAAAGCTACACAATGGGCTATCTGTGCTCTGCCCACCACGGGTATCAAAACCTGGTTTATAGCGTTGTAAGTCCGCAAACATACCACTGTGCCACTGGATGGGGGGCAGTAAATATAGAAAATTGTAGTGATTTTCAGTTAGATCAGACCTTAGTTGAGTAACAAAAATCAACGTATTACTGATCGTTTTACTCTACATAGAACATAACTTCGCAACCTTCTACTTTTTTTTTGTGCGACACAAAAATCAGTAATCTAAGCTCTAACAATGCACTGGTCGCTTTATTTATTTACTTGTTAAAGGTTCTCAAGACGATTTTTGTTCATTGCGTGTGTTTTATGTTTGCTATAGTCATTTTTCTCAAACACACTATGCAAGGCCTCTCACTGAAAATATCAAACAAACAACGTACAAGTGGACAAGAATCGACATTCACTTCTTACGGTGCTGAACGTGACCTAATGATTTGCATGCCCCGTCTGTGAATTCGAGGGTTCATAAAATCTCATTGTATCTAACCAATAAAACCTTCACCACTAAGATATGCCTGAAGCAGTGTTTATAAGATTTCACAGATAACGTTCATAAAGCCTTCAACAGGACACGTCTGAACTATCACAGACACGTTTTCATTGACAACAATAAAAAATGTGTCTGTGATAGCTGACATCTACAAAAAATGTGTCTGTGATAGCTGACATCTCTATAGATATGACGAATACAGTGTGGTTGGAATATTGTATACACTTTTCTAATTCATGAAAATCCATAAAGGGACTAAATAAAGATTGTAGTGTTTAAAAAAATGTAATAGGCCTAATACTTAGGTCTTATGACAAGTATAATTGTAATAATTTCGTCAGCTTATAAAAGGCGTACACACCACAGACATATTTCCACTGTTGTAGATGTCAAGTGCTAACTTTTATTAACAAGCAGGAACAGTCAAAAAATAAGACACTGATTTTATTCATACAGAATTTCTCTGATATGAAATATTTATATAAAGCAAAACCTGTAACTTACATACATATATTATAGTAGTTTACGTATCTACTATTAATTTGGGAGCGACAATGTTTTTTTTGTTTTTTTTTTGTTTACCAAAACCATGCAAAATATTCACATCAGGGGAATTAACAAGATCATGGAGGAATGATTTTATAATTAACTTTTTGTTTGTGGTCTCAGGAATTCTCCCGTCTTACGACGATAGCAAAAACAATAGAAAACGCTATTACACGAAGATTTATTTGAAATAGTCTGGCGTAATTTCAGGAATCCGTTGATAAAAATCAAATTAGGTGATTTTTCACCAAGATGTTTCATTGCCCTTGTTTCCTTCACGATGGTGCTCCTGGCTCTGTTCATTTCCTTTCACTGTAATATTGACTCATTAAGTATTGCCTGGAAGGAATACTTTGTTTATATATACTTAATAAAAATTACAATGAACATAACATTTTTTTTTTATATAAGTCAAACAACACCTAATTTTTGTTCTTATTAGAGCCTTTCTTGTGTGGTTGATTAGGTTCTCGAAGGAAGTTCTGATTAATATATATAATCTAAAAATAAAAGAAAATATTTAATTTGTGCAATTTAAGAATCTAAAAAAGACTTGATATATACAAGTTAATTTTGTTTGTTTGTAATTAAACACAAACCTGCATAATAAACTATCTGTGCTGTGTCCACCAAAACTGTTAAAACTCAGCTTTGAGCGTTATAAGCCGTCAGACTTATCGCTGTACCGCTGGGAGGGCATACAATTTAAGAATCTAAATGAGATTTGATATATACAGTTTATGAATCCAAAAAGACTTAATATATATAATTGAAGAACCCAAAAATAATTAATATACAACTTAAAAATCCGAAAAAGATTTATAATATGCACTTTAAGAATAAAAAATACTTAATACTTACAATTAAAGAACCTAAGTAAAATATTCAATATGTAGAATTTAAGAATTCAAAAAAAATATTTAATATATACAATTTAAGAATTCAGAAAAGACTTAATAAATACAATTAAAAAATCCAACAAAAGATTTAATATATACAATTTAAGAATTCAGAAAAGACTTAATAAATACAATTAAAGAATCCAACAAAAGATTTGATATATACAAGTGAAGAATCCAACAAGAGATTTAATATATACAATTTAAGAATTCAGAAAAGACTTAATAAATACAATTAAAGAATCCAACAAAAGATTTGATATATACAAGTGAAGAATCCAACAAGAGATTTAATATATACAATTTAAGAATTCAGAAAAGACTTAATAAATACAATTAAAGAATCCAACAAAAGATTTGATATATACAAGTGAAGAATCCAACAAGAGATTTAATATATACAATTTAAGAATTCAGAAAAGACTTAATAAATACAATTAAAGAATCCA